TTCACATATACACAAGCCACATGTATAATCCGTCGGTTCACAAACCTTAACCTTTTTTTTCCTGAATAAACCTTAACTAATATATCTACCAATAATTACCTTGCATACATTCAAATAATTGCATAAACTATCATGAGAAATATTTGTTAATCTAAATTATATTTTATCTTTTATCTTATTTTTTATATTTATTTTTGGCCCTTCATTTTTTTTATAAATATTTTAGCCTTTTATCTTTTTAAATTTGAAACAATTTATTCATGCTAAAACAATGTTTATTTTTAATTTTGATAGACAAATTTAATTTTTTTTTCCTAATTCAAGACATATTATTTTTTGTTTAATTAGATTTGCCTACATTAAAATTATTGAATTTATTTTATGTTTTAAAAAAAACACAAATATGATAAAAATAGTGCAAAAATAAGTCTAATAAAAAACCAAAAAATAAATTAAATATAATATCATACATTTCATGATTGTTTATATTACCTGTTTTTTTTATTATATTTATAACTTTAGTTCAATTTAATAAATTTCATATACATGAATATATCGAGATAATTTCACATTTAAATTAATAAAAAAATTGTAACAAATTTAAAAATGATAATTGTCTTAAAATGATAAAATTACTTCAAAATTTTTAATATAAATAACATATATTATACAAATTTAATAATACAGTTTACTGTGACAAAAATATTAATTGAATACCCTAACTGAGTGGGTTCATAACAATTTTTTTGGTCATAAGGCTATGGCCGGAAACTATGTCGCGAAAAATTGACCAGCCATCTTTTAATTTTAATTTTTTTAAAAATCAATAACAAGAAAAATAAAAATAAAAAGAGGAAAAAAGATTTAAAGTGATGCACACTTTCTCTCGTCCTCTCTCGACTAATCCCTAGCTATTGACGGAGCCTCTTTCTCTCTCGACTCAGACACTCTACCGCCTCATTCTCGCCGGCGATTTTCTCTGCTCCGCCGCCCGACTCTTCCCGCGATCACTTCAACCACAGCCGCCGGTTCGTTTCTCATTCTCCCTGTCTATGTCTCTGTCTATTCAATTTCAGTATAACTCCATCGTTTGTCTATCCTCTTCCATAGTCATATTTTTTTGATGGAGTCTTTGGAGCTTATTGATAAGCTCCCTAGTATAGTAAGAGGAAATATGTCTCCTCCTCAAGGCACTCCTTAATTCATTCCAATATTGAATTGGAGGGTCATTATGGAGACGCCTATCTCTCACTAAAGAAGTCCACCAACACATGGCGTGACCTTGAAAACTTAGGGTTGCTAAGGAGACTTTTCTTTCTTCATTCACTTGATGACAAGTGAAAATTTGTTCCACCTTCATTTCCCAATCTAGGTACCCCTCAACATCATCTTTCCCATGAAAATAAGGGAGATCTACCCTAGATTCCCTTGGCTTGGGGG